GGAATCTGCAGGGACACACAGGACCCCTCCCAGGCTATCAGGGCCTCTGGGCCCGCAGCGGAGCAGAGAGGAGGCCCTGCCTTCTGGGGGGACTTGCTGGGGGTACAGGCTTGCGCGTGTGTACAAAGTGCGTGCATTGTGTATGCACGCGTGGAGGTGCCTGTGTACTTGTGTACGTCTGTATGTGTTCAGCCAGCGCTGCCTGTCCATGATGTGTGTGTCCCCCTTGTGTGTGTTCATGTGCGTGCACGTGTGTGGGCGGGGCATTGCATGCGGTGTGTGCGCAGCATGTGCACAGGTGTGCACACTTGTGTGGCATGCACCAACTGGCGTCCTCTGCTCGGGCCTGGGCGGAGTCAGTGAAGTCCAATTCGAGAGTCCTGTTTCCTCCAGAGTAGAGAGCGGTCAGGGGACACGCGGCCCCATGGGTTCTGGTGTCGTGGGCCGTGGAGTGGGTGCAGAGTGGACGGTGCTGGCGTCCCACCGGAGGACGTGGGGTGGGCCTGGGGACGGTGACAGACAGCAGTGTGAGGAGCGGCTGCACCGCCCAGAGGTGCCTCCGCAGGGCCCTGATCCTAGTGAGTCCCTTCGACCTCCCTCAGGTCTGTGTGGTTCCCAGGGCAGCCTCAGGCCGGGAAGCCTGGCTGCAGTGTGAGCTCCCCCAAGGGCTCCTCGGTCAGCAGCGCCCTCTGCTATCTACATGTGTGGCTCTGTAATTGCTTCCTGCTGAGCACCAGGCAGTGCCAGCCAGGACCTGCCAGGCGGGGACCAGGACACACCTGGGCAGCATCATGCAGGATTTCTGGGTGAGGGCTTAACTGACCTGGGAGTGGAGAAAACTCCCGTTCCGTGGGACCCTGAGCCTCTTCCCTGTGGTCTGGATGACGGACCTGTCCCCGGAAAATGCGGGGCAGGAAGGGATGGGCTGGCACTGCAGGGTCCCACAGCATCACCTGGCTGCCTCTCTGGGTGCAGGGACCCCAGGCCCGAAGCACGTGGTTTCAGGGGTCTCGGCACCCCAGACTCAGTTCCTCATCCTCACAGGGGGACCTGGGCAAGACCTGGCTCAGAGGATTTCCCCAGACATGCTAGGACAGGTGACCTAGCATGGTGCCACACCCCGGCTGGGACCCGCACAGAGGTCACAGCAGTCACACGGGTGTACGTGGCCCTGCAGGGTGCCCCTGGCAGATGCCTAATGGCTGTAGAGCCAAAATCCACCCCAAATTCTGGCCTAGCACACTGGAAGCAGGCCATGTCTCAGCTGGGAAGTGGCTACAGGGCTCAGCTCTCTGGCCGCAGGATTCACTTCTAAGTTCCCAGGCGCTGGGAAGCTGTTAGCCGGGTTCTCCAGGGGAAAACCAGCGGAGTCCACCAAACTGGGCAGCAGAGACTCATTTCAGGGGTGGGCTCATTCCCCCCAACACGTGGGCCACTGAGCTCCCAGGGAAAGCAAGTGGCGCATGGTTTCCTCCCAGTCTACAGACAGCCTGGCCAGCATTGGGGGCTTCAGACAGGAAACTATGTGTCCTCGAAGGCTGGTGCCCACTCCTGAACTCATTCACGTGTGCTCAGTGACATGTCCAGATGGCTGCGTGTCCAGCTTGGCTGGTCCACTCACCACAGGGACAGGATGTCCCACTCCCAAATGCCCCCGCTCCTCTGCGCTCCTGCTCCCTCTCCCTCCCCACCAGGAAGCTCCCCTGGTTTCTTGCCTGGTTTCATTCCTGCTCTGTGGGGTCCTGGTTGCTTTTGTGCTTTGGGGCAGTGACTTCCTGTTCCTGTTTGCTGCCTGCCTGGGGGCCTCGCTGCCCTCCCCAACCGGTTCCTGCTAGGGAGCCACACTGCCCTGCCCTGCAGGCCTTTGCACAGGACAGGGCGAGTAACTGCGCCAGCTGGAAAACTTCCAGTTTTCAACTCCCAGGGACTCGCGAATCTGAGCACCTTTTCATAGGCTCACTGGTCCTCTGTTTCCACTTGGAAATGTCTTTTGCCTGTGTTTAATTTTTGGCCTTTTCATTGGTACGCAGGAGTTCTACACTCTGGACACAAGTCCTTGTCACTTAGATGATGGTCTCCCATTTTCTCTCCCCTTATTTGTGGGTTTGTTGTGCCAGTAGTTACAATGCACAGGGTAACTTACTAATGTCATACTACCTCACATGCGAAGTAATAACCTAACAGTGATGTGGTTTCACTTGTCCCCGCAGGGAACACTAAAAGTGCCTGTCTTCCCTTCATTTCGTTTCTTTTTTTTTTTTTTTTTTTTTTTTTTTTTTTTGGTACTGGGGATCAAACTCAGGACCTTGTGCTTTTGAGGCAGGCGGGGGCGCCACGGAGCTACATCCCGGGCCCTTCCTTCATTTCTGAAAGTTGCTTTCACTGGTTCACTGGTTGTAGAACACCAGTTTCATATTTTTTCTCTCAGCTGCTCTCTCCCACTGCTGGGGCTCCCAGGCAGCACACACCAGGCCAGCGCGCTGCCCAAGCTGCCCCGACCGCACAGTCACTGCAGACGCTGGGGAGCCAGGCGTCACTTGCATCGCTCCCTTCTGCTGCCGCGTCTTCTTCTCTGGAGGCCTTAATGACTCTGTCTGAACAGGTGGCTCGTGACTCCTTAGCAGCTGTTACGGCATGTAGTTGCTTTTCTCTCCTTGCTGAGACAAAACACCCACATGCAAAGGGGAGAGGTTCAGTCCACAGTCGGCTGGCTCTGGGCAGGGTGGCAGAGGGGCCTTGCAGAGAAGACGTTCAGCAACAAGCAGCAGACAGCAAGAGCAAGCAAGTGAGGGACAAGACCAGCCTCCCTCTGTCCCCTATGGCACACTCAGGCTGCTGGGATTAGGGCCGTGCCAAACCATCCAGTGGACTGGTTTAATAATCACATGCTCAGTGGTTCTGCCGCCTGCCTCACAAATCCAAGGACCCGAGTTTGATCCCTGGTACCCCCAAAAAATCATCATCATTATCACACCCTTAATCCCACTGTTGCATTCTCCAACCCCTGAAAAAGCTCCCACAAATCATCACAGGAGGTTTTGGGGACACCTAGACCCAAACTGTAACATATGGACTCTGCCATCGTCCTCTCAGGGGCCTTGAGCATCGTTCTGTCCAAACTGTGAATGACTGGTCGCCTCTGGGAGCCTGGCTTAGGCCTGGCTGTGCAGTGTGCGGTTCCCTGCTCTTTAGGGCTTCCCACTGTCCCTGGGCCTGGGCCTGGGTCCTGGGGCGCCCCCCAGTGGTTGCAGTGGAAATCCTTAAATTCCCCACCCCGCCCCTCCCTCTGAACGTCGGGTTGCCCTGCTAGGAGCAGCCAGGGTGTTGGGGCTCTCTCCTCTCTCAGGGTGTCCCCTTCAGCCTCACCGCACCCTGGAGCAACAAACCCTGCCCACTGTCCCCCGCCCCAGCCGTCCAGACTGTGGCTCCCCGCCACGTGCACGGAGTCGGCCGCATGGTCTCCCCCAGTGTGGGCCCTCCCCCGAGGCTGGTGCCCTGTGTCCGCCCGCTCTGGGCACCCTCAGGGCAGGTGAGTCTCCCGCGGACGCCCAGGGTCTGCAGCCGCTATCTGCAGAAGGGACAGGTGCATGAACTTCCTGCCAGAACCAGCAGCTCCAGTCCGTGTCTGGCCACCGCTGCAGCCCAGGGGATGGAGGCACCTCACCACCCCTCCTCCTGCTGATGGAGGGCTGGGCCGAAGAGCGTCTGCACCCCGCTGTCCCTCCTGTCCTGGGCTCAGCCGCCCTCGGCCTAGGTTCCTCCTGTCCCTCCTTCCCCTGCACCCCGCACACCCCTCCTCGTGGGCCCTCGGAGCACGGAGGCGGACGCAGGGTCGCTGCTGGCTTCGGTGGAGAACTCGCTGGGGCGCGGAGGAGGGGCTCCTGTGGATGGCGCGGGCGCGGCCCTCCCGCAGTGGCCTCCTCCCTCCCCCTAGACGTTTGGTGCTGCTGACTGGGAAGTCTTCCGCATCGGCGACAGGATCTTCCTGGCTGTCGCCAACAGCCACAGCTATGACGTGGGGATGCAACTGCAAAACGACTCCTACGTCATCAATTCGGCCATCTACGAGCTCAACGTCACTGCACAGACCTTTGTCAAGTTTCAGGACATCCCCACGTGCAGGTACGGGCTGGGCAGGCTGGGCCAGAGTGGGGGGGGGGGGCAGGGGGGGGGGCCGCCCTTTCCGGGGGC